TCCAATTCTTGCTCCAATGAGTTGATTGTGCTTTATTTATGTGGTATAATTATGTCCTATTTGAGTGTGAGGTGCTTTGACTATCATGTTTCTCAAAAACTAACCCTTTAAGGTGGAATTCAATAGGCAGAAAGAGTAAGGAAAGCTATTGTAGACACAGAAGGCAGTGTAGAAAAATGAAGAAAGAAAAATGTGCAGATTGTGAAAGCAAAAGTAAAATAGTTCAGTTAAATGTATGCAAATCATAGACATTAAATTATTTCTCCAAATTAAATAGCTTCACAGAGCAGATTCCATGATACTACTTTTTTTAAAATTTTATTTACTTATTTATTTTATATGTTACCTATTACAATACCCTACACTTAACACAAGAAAGACTAGGCACATCAAGTAATGCAAACACTTTATTGAAATTTCACTCTGAAATAATTTTCATCTTATATCTATTTTCTTTGCATTGTGGATAAAAAAAAAAGTACTGCATCAATTGACACAGGTTGGTCCTTTGAATTATTCTTAAATTCCTTCTTTGACTTAGCTGGCTAAGCACATGGACAAGTGCAATTTTCAGTTGCCTAAAGTAAATTGGCAGTGGTTGGTATCATTTTTGTTGAGACATAAATTATATTCTTGGTGTAATTTGTTTTTATTTTTATTATTATTATTTTTAGCATCTTTTTCTTTTTAAATTGAATTTCCAGTTGTCTCCCTCTCTCCCACCCTTCTCTTACCTACTCAGAAGGTAACCAAAATGATATCAATTATAGATAAGAAATTATACAAAATATATTTTCAAAAAGCAAGAAAATTATGTTTCAATTTGCACTCAGAGTTCATCAGTTCTCTGGAGGTGGATAGCATTTTTTCATCCCGAGTCCTTTGGAATTGTCTTGGATTATATATTGTATTGATAAGAGTATTCAAGTCTTTCACAGCTGATCATTACAACATTGCTGTTACTGTGCACAATGATCTCTCAGTTCTTCTGAAACCAACCCCCTCATAATTTTCCATAGCACAATAGTACTCCATCATAATCATGCCACAACTTGTTCAGCCATTTCCCAAGTGATGAGCATTCCCTCAATTTCCAATTCCTTGCCACCACAAAAAGAGCTGCTATAAATATTTTTGTACATATAGATCCTTTTCCTCTTTCTTTGATCTCTTTGGGATACAGACCTAGTAGTGCTATTGCTGGGTCAAAGGGTATGTACAGTTTTATAGCCCTTTGGGCATGGTTCCAAATAGTTCCCCAGAATGGTTGGTTGATGTAATTTTTATATAGTTAATTCCTGATTTTCTGCACCAGTGGAATTGAGTACCACAGATCATTTCAAATGATGGTTTAACATTATTTATATTTAGCTTTGGAGTATATTTAATTGCTTTCATCTAAATAATAGGTTTGTCTGATGTTTTACAAGTCAATAATATATTCCAAAGAAAATAATGAAATCTAGTTTGGAAGACCAGAAACACTGGGATACTGTCCACCTTCTCTATCATTGTCTACCTTCTCTATCTTTTCCTCTGCTTAATTCTTCCTAGCTCTTTTGTCTTCCTCCTGCCCTCAACCATTACAATTCAGTTAAATTCGGCAGGCATTCATTAAATTGCCACTATGTGCAGAAAGTGCCTAGACCTTTGGTTAGACCTTATAGTCTAGTTGGAGATAGCAAACGTATATAAATACCAGTGAAATACAACAGTATGTAATAAGTACATCAGAGGACAAGACAGACAGCTATGAAATGGGAGGAGAGTAAAGATAATACTGATAAGATGGGTAGGAATTTAAGCCCTCCTGGCAGAGTTGGCTTTGAGTTAGGATTTAAAAGCTAATTAAGAATCAGTAAGCTAAAAAGGTGAGGGAAAATATTCCAGGCCTAGACACCAGTATGAAAAACAAAGGAAGGTACTTAATTATCTAAAGATTAAAAAGGTGAAAAAAAACAACAACAACCTGAAATTTACTTAGAAAAGAAAGGATGGTGCTAGATTGATGGAGAGTTTTAAATTCCATGCAAAGTAGTTTGATTTTACATAATAAAAAATTGAGACCTGTTGAAGAATGATCAGCCATATGTTTGAATAAAGAAGATAATCTGGCAGCAGCTGTGAGAGAAGGTTTGGAGGAAGTAGAGAGTGGAGGTGGGACAACTTGTTAGGAGGCTATTGCAGTAATCCAGGCATGTAATAATAAGGGTGGCAGTGGAATCAGAGAACAAGGGGTTGGATGCAAAGAGATAATGAAAAAGTGTAGGATCAACAGAACCGGGTAACTGACTGAGTAGGTAAGGTGAGTGAAAGGGGAGCGATCAAAGAGCAATGCAGATCAGCAACTTGTGTGCAGCTCTGACATCTTAAAGAGTTGCTTGGAACATGAAGGGGTCACACAGCCATGTGCCAGAGATAGAAACTGAGCCTCACTCTCAAGGGCAGCCTGTCCACTCTACTACACTGGATCTTGGATGACCAAATACTGCCACTCACTTACAAATAGGTTAATCAGAAAGTAAGCTTTGGAGGTGAAAGAGGATGAATTGGGATTTGGACTTCTAGCTCTAAATCAGGAATTTCTGTAGCCTTGGGAGGCTGATAGCACAAATCAAATACCGTTAAGGGTCAGAAATGTTAGATGACATGCCCAGGGTCACACAGCTAACAAATATCAGACTAAGATATGAGAGAGTAAAGAGCAGAATATGATTGTAAGTAGCAGTGAAGGCTCAGCTGAGACTATAACACCATAAATTAAACCTACATTGATGATTAGTAGGTTGTGAATAATGAATTGTGTTAGAGGTAAGGGTCTTGAAGGATAAATTCTGAAAGTGGGAGATTATAGGGTTGAGGATGGTTATCAAGGGCAGGTATGAAGTTAAATTGTGAAAGATGGACAGAAAGAACATACAGGAAATGAACAAGGGACTGGAAGTCAGGATGAAGTTGAAAAAGCAGGTTTAGTGGTAGAAATGATCAATAAAGCTTCTCAGACTAAAGCAAAACCTAAGCAGCTCTGCGTTTTCTTCTTTTTAGAGCTTGTTGGGTTTTTATTTTGTTACTTTTTTTGCATTTTCCCCAGGGCAAGGCAAATAATTATTTTCATTTTTAAAGGACATTCCTTTCCTCCTTCTCTAAAGCTAATAATAGGTAGCAAATAGGGAATAATGGAGATTCACAGTAACAAAATTATAATTCTACAAAAGGTTTTATGAAGTATGTTATGTAATTATGTTAAAAAGAATTTGAAATAAAAATTTATCATGAATGAGCTACATCATTATGTATATGTAAATTATATGTATATATTTTAATATACATAATATATACACAGCCATACCTGTATAATATGTCATGTAGCAATGAATAAATTCATTTGGATTATATTTGTGCTTCTGTTTGTGCCAAACCCTTATTTGAATTTGTCATGTCTGATTCTTCATGATCCCATTTAGGGTTTTCTTGGCAAAGATACTAGAGTGTACTCCAGCTCATTTTACAGGATCAAGTGATTTGCTCAGGGTTCACACAGCTTAGTAAGTATAAAGCCAGATTTGAATTCAGAAAGACAAGTATTTCTGACTCCAGGTCCAGTGCTGTAGCCACTGCGCCACCTCACTACCCCCATTTGAATTTACTTCTGCCTTTATCATAATCATTAGTATATATATTTGAATTTTGTAAGCCTTAAATGTTGAGAGAGTAGAACGATGGACTAGGAATTGGAAAATCTCAGTTCTGTCCCTGGTACTACAGTTTACTACTATCTGTGTAGCTCTGTGTAAGTCACTTAACCTTCCGGTGTTTCAGGTCACAATTTACAAAATGGTACTAATATACAGGATGTCCCAAACATCTTAGTGCAGGTTTAAAGTTTAATAGCATAAAACTGAACTGAAACTTTTGGGACACCTTATATATCAGTTTGGTCAACATCTCAGAGTTGTTACAGAGATCAATTTCTATATGTAAATACTTTTTAAAAAACTATAAAGATAAAGCATTATTTTAAACAGGAGGTGGCAAAGTATAATGGGAGGACTGATTGATGGGACTCCCACTGGCTAGTCCCCCTGTAACATATAAATGTAAAATATTTTATGGAAATGGTAGCACAGGCCAAATCACTGCTAACTATCATAATCAAGGCATAGGACATTACTTAAGGTAATAAATTCCTATCCTTCACAAGAGAAATTTAAAGAAAACTAACTAGTTGTTCATGAATTTGTTAACTGGTCTTTCCTGCTGTGGACATTTAGCCTTTTACCATATAATATATGTGTG